AATAATGTCATTCATTCCTACACAATGTGAATAGTTAATTCCCTTCTCCTCACTTCTCCTGCATCATCGAAGATTCAGCAATAATGCCAAGGTGGACTTACCCTGAACATAGCCAATATCAGGATACAACCATGTACATATGGAAAGAATATCCCATAGTCTTGCTTGATTACTCTCATTCTCAAAAAAGCAGAGATACCGATCCCTTCTAACAACATAAAGGCCTGCAACACAAATTTCACCATATTATAAGCAGTTCTTGAAGAGCACCTACATATTTCTTATACTTAAACAGAATGCTAAAGAACACAAATTTGTGTACAAGTAAATAATAGATACCAATTAGACTCAATACGAGCATCCAATGGAGCACACACTTGTCTGTTATAGCGGTTTTTACAAGCCATCCTTGATTTTCTACTGAAGATTCTTCTAATGGCTGCCCATCTTCCGCAACAACTGCCATTGTGACCAAGTTTCCACTACCAAGGAGAGGAACCATTTTCCGACATTCCTCTTTACTGCTCCCATAGATAATAAGTGCATCAAAGTAAGTTATGAAAACATTATTCAAAAGGATGTACCAAACTACTCAGCATTCAATAAGTTTTACTCGTGCTAAGAAGACGCTGAATCACAGCACAAAAAACAATAGTACCTTCTGTGATTCCTCAGTTTGTTCCTTTCTTTCAAACATGCTGTCTGGATCGTAGCCTCCTAAAAAACTCCCAAACCTCTGCTTTGATCTTCGATGAATTCCCTGAAAATGCATCCAAGTAAACAACAAGGCCATAGAACAAAAAACAGATAAGATAACAATGTTGACTTACTCCTCGCTGGTATACGTCGAAGAACTCTTTCCATATCCAAACGTCCATCTTCAGTAAACGCAGCATGCCATCTCCTAGCACTTAGAGTTTCGCCAGCCTGATCAAATCCCAATATTTCAATCACCAATATAAAACTATATCCAGACCCGGAAACAAATAATTGAATAAAGAAGACAAAAACCCTTGATTTGAATCTGTTCCTGGGGACATCTGCTTGACATTCAGATCTAAACGGATAGGAACCTTGCAGATCTTCTCCTCCGGATTTCCACAACAAATCATCCAACTTTTGTACCTATAATAAGACTATCTCATTCCTGTATCAAAAACAACTAACAACGATCAACTTTGACCCTAGAAAATCTCCAGCTTTATATTCTTGTTTCTTTCATGTAAGCTAAAGTTCACGATTTTCCAACAACAAACAAAACAGATATCTAGTAAAATAAAATTAAAGGAAAGCCATGAGGCTCCGGAAATTGCAATCTAAAACATCTTCCCAATTCCGGCAACAACATAAACCTAAATCAAACAATTGTAAGAATATGAAACTGTGTACCTTGTCGGATTCAAAATATTGAATCGATCTTCATTCTTCGATTTCTGAATTTGTCAAATTGAAATATTGAGGGACAGAGAGAAAAGACGGCCATAGTGACAACATCGATCACCGTCATAGCTGCCATTAGACAATGATTGTTGGAACACACGTTAGTACATTCACTTGAAACCATTAACACTAGAAAGAAAGAAAAACCATACACTCAGACTGCAAGCACCAAATTCAATAAGAACATCATCACAACCACATGATTAATAGCAAAGACAACTAAAGGTATACATCAACACTCCATGGTTAAAGAAAAAGAGCAATTTTTTCAAGGAAACCTAAACATAGTGGGAACAAAAAGGATTTAGAACTGTAAAGCTCATATAGCTTAATTATAACATTGGATCGAAGATATATTACCTTGATCTACTGCACATCCAAGGAGAATGAAATCTAAAAAGATATGGGGTCGGGGATCATTCCTGTGATAAACTGAAAAACCATTAAGTCTGTCACATAGTAGAAAACTCAGTTTTTCTATAAATACACAGTGTAATATCTCACTGAAAACGTAGTGATCTCAACAAAGGATCATTGTATATGATCCCAATCCAGCAAACGGATATACTGTTGAAATCAAGAGCAAAGCACCTGCAAAAACATCAGCATCTTGAAAGATTTGGAGGCATAAATTTGATATCTAATCATAGTTATGCCCCATTAGTATCTTAAAAAGAATATATGGAAGCCAACAACTAAAAACTTGAATTTTAGAACAATTAAGCTTGATAAAAAGTATACCATAATTTCACATTCTTCATTAGGATTTCTCTTCAATTGTCGAGTTCTGAAACTTTTGCTTCTTACAGCTCAAGAACCTATGCATGAGTTAGTACACATCCATAAGAAGAAAGAGAAAGTTACATTGCGTGTCTCAAACTGAAGATATTTACCTCTTTAAGCATGCACGAAACCATTGTTTACCGAAGTCGTATGATCGATAAAGTGCTTGATGGTTGAGAAACAATCATGTATAAATATATGCTTGAAATTTAAAAGATATGAGAAAACAAACTGAATAATATTCAGTTGTTATGTTTCTGCATTGTTTATTTATTTCTTTTGTATAGTGTTGTGTTTGAGTTCGTGGGATGTGAAGTTCTTGTTGCGTGTGCTGAGTTTGAATCTTTTTGCAATGGAGTTTTTTTTTTGTTCTGTACTTCTGTTTTTGTTGTTGTTATTGAACGTGCATTTGAGCGTGTTTTGTTCTGTATGAATTCATTGCGATTTAAGTGTTTTGCGTTCTGTTTTTATGTTATGTGTGAAGAGAGAGAGAGAGGTATACATCACCTTAGTCATTGTTTGTTTCGGCTATCGCAGCATAAGAATCTACCCTCCTGAAACCAAAACATTTTTATCAGAATGAAACGTTTACCACAATGTAGGACATACAGAACCAATTATGACTAAGAAGTAAACTTACTAGTTACCTTATTCAGGGTAGATATAGGCAAAACTTGGCTGCATGCTCATATATTCAATCTTGATGCATAAATCCCCAAAAAAATTGTAGTACCTTTGGGAGAAATGTGTAAAATGAGTCAATAAGACACAAAAACATGTATAATATTAGAAAGAAACCAAGTCCTTTTCACTAACAAAACATCACACAACCACCAAACATGATTCTTTCCAATCAGTGCCCATCATTTACATACCCGTTTTGAATTTTTCGACGAAACTACTTAACAAGTAATAGCTACCAAAATTTACCTTTCAAGAGTTTTGATCAAATCTCTTTATAATCTCCTCGATAGATCCAACCCATTAAGTTATGTTTTCCTGCAAATTACTTATGCATATAATGCGAATTGATAAATCAACCAGTTCACGTTCATATCGCGTTGAAGAAAACTCTTACATGCAAATTGGGCAAAACGATAGGTTCTAGGCGAACAATTGACAACATGAACAACCAAACTTAGAAAAATAAAAACATAGGGGCTTTTGCTAACGACGGTTAAGACATAATAATCGCAAGAAATTTTAGATCGCTAACTTAAGAAACAACTTCTTGAATTAAAATTCATACCCCATGATGTTAAAGCCATACAAAACGAAGTCACATCATCACAATGATTCTTAAAAAAAAAACTGAATTACAATAAAAAACCATACAATTAAACTGCGAAAAAGGTTTTAATTACCTGATTTCAGGGACCGTTTCCGACGAACTCAAATTCCGTCGCACGATTCTTTTAGCGGAGACGATTTTCACCATCGAGACATGATCGATCTTCATCTTCGGAGCAAACGATTCCCATATAAAGCATGGTTCGTTCCCAAATCCGATCATGTAATTGCTTGTGGAATTGCATTGCAGAAACTGGAGATACGAGAGGTTGAAGAAGGATGGAGTTTTTTTTGGTTGCTAAAAACCCTAAGAGCGATCTTTGAGGGAAAGAGAGAGAGAGAACGGAACAATCTGGAAATTGAAAAACAGAGGCTCCTGATTTTGTATTTAAACCGTTTAACCATTGAGTTTGTATTTACTAAATTACCCTTGATACTTTTCACAACAGCTCATATATTTCAAATTTTCTACCACCCGTTAGGGCAATTTAGATCGGAAGTTACGAAAATAACCTTGTTTAAGTTTTACACAAAAGATTCGGTTAGGTAATAGTATATTATGACTCAATACCGGTTTAAAATGGTTCTACAGGTTTTCATTTTACATTTGGTTTTCTAAACCGTCCTTTTTTTTTTTACTTTTGTTAATTCAAGTAAATTCCCATTTTAATAAAATCCATTTTTCTCTCCCTAAAAATTTCCTTTTCCTAAGGTAAAAACTTCTTCAGTAACCGTTGAAATTCCTTTAGCTTAATCCTCCCATTCCATAGATCGATGTCCAGATTTTTGTTTACTTTGTGTTTTCGTAGTTGTTAGGGCGTGGAGAAATCTATTGTGATTACGGACACAGAGCGAGAGAGAGACAACAATCTAAAAACACGAGTCATGTCGGATTCTGAAAAAGAGCTTGAGAAACGTGTTCTGGAAGCTGGGGAAAATCTTCTTGACAAACCACCACCTTCTTCAATTCGTAGGCTTCTTGATCTCGATGTGAGCTCCTTCACCATTTCCTATGGATTTTTCTAGTCATGGGCTCAACTATTTCCTCTGCATTTTCTAATCTTTGCATTTTCTATTTCTAGTCATGGGTTCAATTACTGCTCTGCATTTCATTCTTATTCATCGGTTTTAATTAGAAAGTGTGTAAGTGTGTGTGGTAGTGTTCACATCATAGGACTGGTTATTTTGGTGCTGTTACGTGCATCATCTTCGATTTTTGGGTGAATCTGTCCGTACTATAACTATCCGAATAAAAATTTGGTTTTTTTGTTTTAAACATGTGATGTTTGAGTCTTGAGTTTGGATGATCATTGTATTTTGCTGCAGGAAGTTTTCTGCTGCTTGTCAGAGGTGGAACAGAATCCTCCCAGCTCAATGAAGAATGCACTCTCTCCGTCCATCAAAGCATTAGCTGCTGCAGAACTCTTCAAGCATTCGGATGTCGATGTGAAAGTTTCTGTCGCAGCTTGCATCAAATTATGAGAATAACTGCTCCGGTTGCTCCGTATGATAATAACAAGATGAGGGTACATACGTTCTTGTTTGGTAGTTTTATCTTAAGAAAAATTAGTATAATGTGGTTTGGTCACTGATTGTTTTCTACGTTTCACGCGCAAGAAGTATTCCGATTAATTGTATCATCATTTGAACATCTATCTGACATGTGTAGTTGCTCCTATTTCAAGAGGATATCGATCCTTGAAACTGTGTCTAAGCTTAAATTTGTGACTGTGATGTTGGATCTTGAGTGTTATGCACTTGTTATTGAAATGTTCCGACATTTTCTCAAGGTTATAAGGTAAGAGCTAATATTTCCTTCCTACTAGACTTGAAGTTTCAATTGAGAAGCTTTGTTATGTAAGTTTTTCGGTTAAATTTGTTTCTGCTATGTTTACCACTCGGCACACTTGATTAACTATATGATTAATCTTCAACTTTGTAATGCAGGTTTATAGCTGTTTGATTGCTTGTACAACATCCATCAATACACGTGTGAATGATGATGAATTTGTATTTTCTTTGTAGAGATCATCATCCAACGGAAGTATTTTTATGTATGGAGAACATTATGACCCATGCTTTAGAAGAACGTGATGCTATACCTCCATAGATGCTATCACCAATTCTACATTATGTTAAAAAGAATCACAAGGTGATACATAAATGTGTTCTTACTATCCATATTTAAAAAAACCAGTGTTCTCTTTTGGTAACTATTTCAACTTGTCCACAGGTTCCCCAAGTATCACGGAGGTTGGCAGAACACGTTTTGAGTAACTGTGCTAGTAAACTCAAAACATACCTGACTGAAGCGGTAAAATCATCGGGTGTCTCTTTAAATATGTATAGTAATGTAGTGGCTTCAATATGTGAAGGGACATTCAGTTCTTTGAAGGAGAACAAGGTTGTGGCAAATCCTGCACGCTTGTTTTCTTCAGTGCAAGATTTGCCATCTAAGAAAACAAGTGTGGAGGAAAACAGATGTGCAGCAGAAGCTGGTCATCGTCAGGAAAGTTGTCCTACAAAGGCTATAAAGCGGAAGAAAAAAGAAATCTCAACGAAGAAGGCCATACCAGCTGCGACTACAAGTGCTACCAAAGCAACTTCCGAAGAACTAAACACTATCGAAGCTAAATTGACAAAAAAGTGTGAAAATGTCGCTTCTTCAAGTACGGCCAAGCCTACTGTTCCTCCCACAAAGAAAACAACCTCCGTGAAAAAAGGCACTTGAGGTGATATGATGCAAGAAGCCTCGAAAGTCAACGGAGGAAAAAGAATAGCCAGGACGTGGGAAAGCCACATATGAGGAGTCGTTACCAACTTCTTCAGAAGGATAGCAAAAAGGTAAGTTGTTCGCTACATATCTGACTTCTCTGTCCTTGTACTGTTGTGAATATCCTTCTAGTGTCTTCTAGCCACTTGTCTCCTCTAGAAAGAGTAAGTTGTTCGCTGACCTTTATTGATACGTTACATAGTTGACTTCCATGTCCTTGTGCTGTTATGAATATCCTTTAAATGTGTTCGATCCAGTTGTCTCCTATGGAAAGTTAGCCTTGGAGTAAAAGAAAGAAGTGAAACAACTAACTGTTAGAAGAAACTCCTAAACTCATAAACACAAAGAGAAAACACAAAGCATGTTTCCGTAAATTCATGTATTATAAATGTTGCTCACATAAGGGAATGTGGAAAATAAGAATGTTTTACCAATTGCCAAATGCAATAGCTAACTATGCATGGTTGGAGCTTCTTATTCTCTTCATACTAGTGATATTATCTTGTTGAACATCTCGATGTTTCTTATTGTAAATTTCTTCACTCTGAATCAATCCATGGCAGGCATCTGATCTCCAAAATTATGATGAAAAGTTAGTTGGGTTAAGGATCAAAGTCTGGTGGCCTATAGATTAGAGGTAAGCATTATTTTCTTCTTAGGAATTATATTTGATTTACACCCTCCTCTGTGCTATGTATTTTCTTTTAAGGAGATAAATCTGGACTAGCACCTCGAATGGTTGCATTTCCGTTGTCCATGCTTGTAAAGATGTATTACATTTTTACTGCAGGTATTATAAAGGTGTAGTCTATTCATATGATTCTTCTAGAAAGAGACATCTGGTAAGGCCAACTATGTCAATCTCATATGTAACTATCTTGGTTTATATCATTTATTTGTCGTAAACCATTAGCCTATTGCATAGACTACATATTTCTTTAATTCATTTTTCAGGCCATTTTATG